CGAGAGGGGCTGGGGGTGGGGGGAAGAGAGAGAAATGGGGGAGAGAGGGGGAAAGAGGTGTGAGGAGAGACAGAGGAAGTGGGGAGAACGAAAGGGATGGATGAGAAGTCCAGAAATAGAGGGAAGAGATGGGGGCAGAGAGAGAGCAGGAGAAACGGAGGGGAGAGACGGGGCCAGGAGTGGGAATGATGGGGGTGATGCGCGGCTTCGGGGGGAGAGGGAAGGGGAGCGAGGATGGGGGAGCTGGACGGGGAGGTCCATCTGGTATAGGGGGGCGGGGTGATGGCGGGAAGCGGGTGTGGCTGCCGGACTCTGGGCCGTGACCTCAGAGCCCCTGGCCCAGCTCAGCCCTGACGTCAGCCCCTCCTCCCGCCCCCGCCCGCCCGGCTCTTCAAATCTCCCCCGAGCTCAAGGGGCAGCAGGGAGACTCGGGAGCAGCCAGCGGGCGAGGAGAGAGGCCGCCGGAGCCGCAGCGATGACACAGGTGCGTGCTGGAGTGTGCGTGGGCGCGCGTGAGGCTGCGGCGGGCGGGAGGCTTCCCCGCGCGTTTGTGAGCACGTGTGCTCCTGTGCGCGACAGCGGCCCTGTGAGTCTGTGTGCCGTCTGGCCTGAATGCATGTCAGATCCGACCTGCCTGTAAGTCCGTGTGGGTCCGTGTGCCCCGGAGCAGCAGAGAAGAGCTGTCTTTGCCCCACACGTGGTCTAGAATTCTATTTTCTTGTGTTGGGCAAATATTAAGGTGGACCAAATGAAATCGCCCATCTCTGGTCGCTTTTGACTGGTGAAAATGGCAATTTCCTATGGTTCAATCTCAACTGTTAACCTTTTTTTTCCTGACCTTGCCAGGGGTGTCTGTCTGTGTCTGTGCGTGTGTGTGTTTGTGTGAGTTTGCTGGTGGTGGTGTTCTTACCTGAAGAGCGTGTGTGTTTGTATGTGTTTGCTGGTGGTGGTGTTCTTATCTGAAGGGCACATGTCCCTGAGTTCACCTGTGTGGCTGTCAGTGGAGGGGGTCTCCGGATCACTAAATTCTACGGGCAGGTGTTTGGGGTCATCTTGTCTGGGTTGTGTGTCCATGGTGACGTGTGACTGTGACTGTTGTTGGGGTTAGGATTCTCCAGACACCCACCTGTCCCTGGGATCCTCACCATGAACTGGCCCATCCCCAGGAACTCAGGCACAGTTAGGTTTGGGGCAAAGGGTTTCAGAAGGAAGATTCCAGAAGAAATAATAACAGTGGTTAATACTGAGCAATTACTAGCACCAGGCTAAAAGCTGTAACTTAACTCTGTCCTAGAGAAACATTAAACAAGCCACAGACATCATTTAAAATTTTCTAGTAGCCACATTAAAAAGGAAAAAGAAACAGGTGTGATTAATTTTAATAATAAAATTTTCTTTAACCCATGGTATCAGGAGTCAGCAAACGTTTTCTGTACCAGGCCAGACAGTCAATATTCGGGGTTTTGAGGACCATATGGTCCCCATTGTAACTACACAAACTTTGGCATAGTGAGGAAGCAGCTGTAGACAATATGGAACCAGATGTGTGTGGTGTGCCAAGGAAACGATGTTAAGAACGATAACATTTGAATTTCATATAATCTTCTTTATTCCTTTATTTTTATTGAATGAAGTATAATTGATTTACAGGGCTTCCCAGGTGGCTCAGTGGTAAAGAATCTGCTTGCCAATGCAGGAGACGCAGGTTCCATCCCTGGGTCGGGAAGATCCCCTGGAGAAGGAAATGATGACCTGCTCCAGTATTCTTGTCTGGGAAATCCCACGGACAGAAGAGCCTGGCTACAGTCCACAGGGGTCACAAAAGAGTCAGACATGACTTAGTGACTAAACAACAAGAAATTGATTTACAATGTCATGTTAGTTTCAGGTGTTCAGCAAAGTGATTCAATTATGTGTGTGTGTATATATATATATATATATATATATATATATATATATGCTCTTTCAGATTCTTTTCCCATGTAGGTTATTATAAAATATTGTGAAGTTCCCTGTGCTATACAGTAGGTCCTTGTTGTTTATCTGTTTTATACATAACTAGTGTGTGTATTCATATAATTTTCATGTCCCACAAAATATAATTCTTATTTTGACTTTTTTCAACCTTCTAAAAACATAAAATCTAATCTTAGCTTGCCAGGCTGTAGTGAAGAAGGAGGCAGGCATTTTGTCCAAGAGGCCGTAGGGGGCCAACTCCCTGCTATATATATCAAAAAATTATCATTTCAGTACAAACACATGAATGCGATGTTTTACTTTCTTTTTTCTGCACTCAGGCTTCCCAATCGAGATGTGTAGCACATCTCACGCAGATGCTATATTTTCACTGGAGATGCTTGATCTGCAGTTTTAGATTTCATAACATTTAGTTGAAAAAGAAGCTTCACAGATCCTACTTGTTCCAAACATGTGTAAAAGTCTTCCAATAACTGAATTAAGGATCTGTTTTTAAATTTATTTTTGTTTTTAAAAATACTTATCTATTTATTTTTGGTTGTGTCAGGTCTGAGTTGCTGCACACGGGCTTCTCCCGAGTTGTGGCACAGTCAGCCCACGCAGGCTTAGTTCCCCGACCAGGGATCAAACCCATGTCCTCTGCATTGGAAGGTGGATTCTTAATCACTGGTCCACCGGGGAAGTCCCAGTTTCTGAATCCAAACATTTAAATTGCATACAATTAAAAATTCAGTTCCTCAGTGGTACCCGCTGCAGTTCAAGCAGACGGTAGCGACAGGTGGCCCATGGGGCACGAATTGGACCATGCAGACCTATAGCTTTAGTGATTCATTTAACTCATAATAAGCCCAAGAGTTTCGAACTGGTGACAGAGGGAGAAGGCAACTGAGCGTAGAGGATGGTGGAGCCAGAGACTGGAGCCTGAGTGACCCTGGATGAGAGAACACAGCCCCCTGGGTCTCAGTTTCCTCATCTATAACAGGAAGCGTTAACAGTATTCACCTTACCAGGGCTCGGCATGTGGAAGGGGCTAAACCCCCACTTTACAGACAAGCAAACAGAGGCACCTCCTTCCCTTCAATTATGAGCTCTGCCAGTCATGGGTACTGGGCATCTGGCCCTGCCAGCCACTCCTCCTGGCTAATCAGTCCTTGGCTTTGCCATCTCTATAGCGGTGGCAGGAAAGATTATCTGTCCCCTCAGCCTACCCCCTGGGGTGCTGCTGAGGAGTAAAGCCAATATATAAGGTTGTGGCTGAGTGACTGGATTCTTAGGGTTCAAATCTTGGCTTCTCTGACACATTTGTGGTGGCCAAAGGGAAAGAGAGGTGGCGGAGGGAAGAGTTGAGAATTTGGGATTAGCGGCTGCAAACTGTCATATATAGAATAAACCACAAGGTACAGTCCAGGACACTGTATTCAATATTCTGTGATAAATTATAATGGAAAAGAATATATGTGTGTAACTGAATCACTGCTTTACAGCAGAAATTAACACAACATTGTAAATCAACTAAACTTCAATAAAGACAGTTTTTAATGCAACACCCCCCCCCCCAAAGAAAACACAGAAGGCTTGACTTCTCTGCTTTCCAGGCAGACCTTGGGCAGGTCGCTGCACCTCTATGTGACTCAGTTGCCTCACCTGTAAAAGGGGGATGGGACTTCCCAGGGGGCTCAGTGGTAAAGAATCCACCAGCCAACCCAGGAGACACAGGAGACACAAGTTCAGTCCCTGGGTTGGGAAGATGCCTTGAAGAAGGAAATAGCAACCTTCGCCAGTATTCTTGCCTGGGAAATCCCATGGACAGAGGAGACTGAAGGGGTAGAGTCCATGGGGTCACAAAGAGTTGAACATAACTGAAGCGACTTAGTGCACGCGCGCGCGTGTGCGCGCGCGCGCACACACACACACACACACACACACACACACAATAACAGTACCCACCTCAGAGGGCTGTTTCGAGGATTCAAATAAGTTAGCTTCTGTAAAACGTTTAAAGGGCATTGCATTCTTCTCTGAGATGTGTATTTTCATCACTATTATCTTAACACTAAGAAAGCTTTGTGAGATGAATCATTTTCCCTGCCACTAAGGAGGCAGGGAGCCCCTGTTAATTCAGCTGTGACACTCCACTGAGTGTAATCCTGGTGGATTTTAAGGCTGTTAAAAACGTGGGCGGGGGGGCGGGGAATAGCATCAGAAGTAGGGTAAGCAGGTATTCAGCCTTGATAACTGTTTGCCACGTTTACTTTCATGAATGAAAGTAATTTTGCAGTACCCAGGGGATTCTCTTTCTGAAAAGGGGATGTGACCGTTGGCCTGGAAACAAAAGCCAGGAGGGCTTCCCTTCCCAGAGAGCATTTAAGGACTCCCCCCCCCTCCCCGCCCCTTTCTCTTCCCGAAGGACGTGCCCAAGCCCAGCCAGGCAGCCCGTCACTGCTCCGGCCTGGTCCGCCGGGTGCTGACCATCACCTTTGCGCTGCTAATCCTGGGCCTCATGACCTGGGCCTACGCCGCCGGCGTGCCGCTGGCCTCCGATCGCTACGGCCTCCTGGCCTTCGGCCTCTACGGGGCCTTCCTCTCGGCGCACCTGGTGGCGCAGAGCCTCTTCGCCTACCTGGAGCACCGGCGGGTGGCGGCGGCGGCGCGGCGCGCGGCGGCGCGGGGGCCCCCGGAGGCGGCCACAGCGCGCAGCGTGGCGCTCACCATCTCGGCATACCAGGAGGACCCCGCGTATCTGCGCCAGTGCCTGGTGTCGGCCCGAGCCCTGGTGTACCCGCGCGCGCGCCTGCGCGTCCTCATGGTGGTGGACGGCAACCGCGCCGAGGACCTGTACATGGTCGACATGTTCCGCGAGGTCTTCGCCGACGAGGACCCCGCCACCTACGTGTGGGACGGTAACTATCACCAGCCCTGGGAGCCGGCGGCGGCGGGCGCGGCGGGCGAGGGAGCCTACCGCGAGGTGGAGGCCGAGGACCCCGGGCGCCTGGCGGTGGAGGCGCTGGTGAAGACGCGCCGGTGCGTGTGCGTGGCGCAGCGCTGGGGCGGCAAGCGCGAAGTCATGTACACGGCCTTCAAGGCGCTCGGCGACTCGGTGGACTACGTGCAGGTGAGTGGGAGGCGCCCCCGCCGCCTCTGTGACCCGGACACCCCCATCCCACTTCCCTCGGATCCTTCATTCAACCTACAGATTGGTGTGAACCTCTCTGCTTCCTTTATTCATTAATCCATTCAATGGAGAGTGTCTTTCCTTCCTTCCACATTCATATTCCCGTTTATCCATTCAACCATTAGGGAGATTACTCATTCGTTTTGCTCATTCATTTGTCCATTCAGGGAAGAGATTTCTTCCTTCTTTCCTTCCTTTTTCATTCATTCATCCATTTGATGCAGAAACTCTCATTAACCCACTCATCCATCCATTTATCCATCCATTCAACATAAAGATTCATTTACCCCAGAATGTCTCTGTCCTTCTTTCTCTTCCTTCTTTCATTGTATCTTTTCTTCATTCATTCATCTCATCATCCACTACAGAGATCATTCATTCCTTTATTTATTCATCCATTCAGTGTAGAGGTTTCATCTTTTCTTCATCCAAGGTAGAAATTCTTTCTTTCACTCATTCTTTCATGCATCCATCTATCCATCCAGTATGGAGATCATTCATTCATTTACTCATTCACTTAAATTAAGTCATTAAATGTAGAGATTGGTTCATTCTGTTTCTTCATTCATTCAGTGTTGAGATTCTTTTGTTTATCCATCCATTTACTTATCAGTACAGAGATTTATTTGTTTATTTCATCATTCATTCATCCATTCAATGCAGTAATTCATTCATTAATGCATTGAAATAGTTGTTTTTTTTACCACCGCATAACAAATTTCCACACATTTGGCAGCTTGAAACAAAACACATTTATTATTATCTCATAGTTTCCATGGGTTAGGAGTCTGGGCAAAGCTTAACTGGATCTCCTGTTGAGGGTGTCATCAGGTTGCAGTCATTGTGTCAGTTGGAACTGGGTCTTATCAAAGGTTCTGGGGCCCATTCCAAGCTCATGTGTTTGTTGGCAGAATTTGTTCTTTTGCAACCATAGAACTCATAGCAGCTTGCCTTGTCATGACCAGCAAGAATCTGACTTCTAGACCCTCTCTTAAAGGGCTCGCCTGATTAGGTCAGGCCCACCCAGGATACTCTCCCTTTGATTAATTTAAAGCCAACAGATTAGGAACCTTAATTACACTGCAAAACCCCTTCACCATTTCCAAATAAGGGAATACAGTTATGGGAGTTCTGTATCATCACTTTGGCTATTGGCCATATACTATAGGTTAAAAGCAAGTTACAGATCTTGCCCACACACCAGAGGGTATTTTACAAGAGCATGGGTGTGTGTGGGGGTGGGTGGTCATCTTAAAATGTGATAAGACATTGAACATGACTAAAAAACTCAAGCTATGTTCAGATTGGCTGCAGAGTGAGTGTCTGAGTTGGTTCTCATCCCATGGGGATCAAGGATGGTCCCTCAATTGCCAGCCCTGTGCAAGGATCTCACCTGAACCTTGGCCCTTCCATTTGTCAGGTCTGTGACTCAGACACAAGGCTGGACCCCATGGCGTTGCTGGAGCTGGTGCGGGTGCTGGACGAGGACCCCCGCGTAGGGGCTGTTGGGGGCGATGTACGGATCCTGAACCCCCTGGACTCCTGGGTCAGCTTCCTAAGCAGCCTGCGGTACTGGGTGGCCTTCAATGTGGAGCGGGCTTGTCAGAGCTACTTCCACTGTGTGTCCTGCATCAGTGGGCCCCTAGGTGAGCAGGGGCAGGGCTGGGAGGGCCATGGATGGGGTGGAGAAGGAAGGGAGAAGAGGAGGCAGATGGGTTGAAGATGGGATTGAGACTGGAGACAAAGATGGGGCTGGGGCAGGAACTGGGGACAGGGGTAAGATTGGAAGCTGGAGGTGGGGATGGTGTCTGGTGGTAGGAATGGTCTGGAGAAAGCGTGTGGATAGCGATTGGACTGTGGCTGGGTGAAGATTGGGGAAGGGGATAAGATGGGTTTGGAACTTAACAACACTGTTGGTGCTAGGCTTGAGGCTGGAGATGGGTTTTTTGGATGCGGATGAGTAGGTGGTGGAGCTAAGAATGATACCAGATTGGGGAAGGGTTTGCAGTCAGAGTGGCTATGGGGTCAGGGATGGGATTGGGGCAAGTTTGGGATGAGTGTGGGGTTGAGGAAGGGGTGAGATTGAGAACAGGATTGCGACTGGAGTTGTCATTGGAGACGGGCTTAAGAATGGGATTGAGATGGTTAAATGGGCTGGAGGGCTTTCCATGATGGTCCAGTGGCTAAGACTCCATCATCCCAAGGCAGGGGACCCAGCTTCCATCCCTGGTGGGGGAACTAGATCCCACATGCCACAACAAAGTCCTAGAGAAGCTGAATAAATAAATAAAAATAAATATTTAGAGAAAGGATGGGGTTGGAATTGGAGATGAGTTGGGCTGGGGATGGTGCTGGCAACAGCAGCGACTGAGGCTCCTGTGTGCCCTTCCCCCACCCAGGCCTATACAGGAACAACCTCCTGCAGCAGTTCCTCGAGGCCTGGTACAACCAGAAGTTCCTGGGCACCCACTGCACCTTTGGGGATGACCGTCACCTCACCAACCGCATGCTCAGCATGGGCTATGCCACCAAGTAAGCTGAGGGCACTGGGTGCTTGGGTGTGTGCAGGGGCCGATGAGTATCTCAGCAGATGTGTGTGTGCTGCTGCTGCTGCTAAGTCACTTCAGTCGTGTCCGACTCTGTGCGACCCCATGGACAGCAGCCCACCAGGCTCCTCTGTCCCTGGGATTCTCTAGGCAAGAATACTGGAGTGGGTTGCCATTTCCTTCTCCATTGCATGCATGTATGCTAAGTCGCTTCAGTCATGTCTGACTCTGTGTGGCCCGATGGACAGCAGCCCACTAGGCTCCTCCGTCCACGGGATTCTGTAGGCAAGAATACTGGAGTGGGTTGCCATTGCCTTCTCCAGTGTGTGTGTTGAGGATACTCCAAACTTAAAGTAAATCATAGGACATTGGGGTCTTTCTAGCAAGATTTCAGAGGAGACAGAAAGAAACCATGAGGAACAGAAGGGGCACTTGCATTGAATCATGAGCTATAGTGTTGGCCAAAAAGTTCATCTGGGTTTTTCCTAACATGTTACCAGTGAACTTTTTGGCCAATCCAACGCACCAAATGAGACACTAGAGGAGAGTGGAGGATACCATAGGGGCAGGGGTGGCCTTTACAGGGAACCATGTGACCCAGTGGACTCTACCAAGTAGGGTGAAGTGAGGGTGGGAATTCCACCTAGAAGATACAACATGAAATTGGGCAAGATGGCTCCACCACCGAGAGCACAGGCTCCTCAGTCTGTGGAAAGAGAAAGACATCAACAGAGTGGGATCAACTAGTTAGAGAGAGAAGATTCACGTGGGAGAGGAGGGGAGCGCCTAAACCCCAATAAGTGCTTCAGGAAGAAGGGATGTACCTGAAGGGGATTCAGGGGAGTATGGCTAGACCAGGTGACATACAGGCGAAAGATACTTCTACAAAGTTAGACCAGTGACAGTGCCAGAGAGAACTTGAGGTATACCGAGGGAACCCAATACCTTTATGCACTTGACAAATATTGTTCAAGTGCCTCCCATGTTTTCAGCACTGGGGATGCAGCAGCAAACAAAAGAACTGCAAATTCATGCTTACACTGATTGCAGAGATAGACAGTAAGTAAAATATAGAAGTAGGAAATACAGCATATTAGAGAATGATGCATGATGGTGAAGGCTCTTGACAGTCCCTTGGACTGTCAAGGATATCAAACCAGTCCATCCTAAAGGAAATTGGTCCTGAATATTCATTGGAAGGACTGATGCTGAAGCTGAAGGTCCAATACTTTGGACACTTGCTGCGAAGAGCCAACTCATTGGAAAAGACCCTGGGGTTGGGAAAGATCCAAGGCAGGAGGAGAGGGGGATAACAGAGGATGAGATGGTTGGATGGCATCACCGACTCAATGGATATGAGTTTGAGAAAACTCTGGCAGATAGTGGAGGGCAGGGAAGCCTGGCGTGCTGCAATCCATGGGGTTGCAGAGTGTCGGACACGTCTAGCAACTGCACAACAGCACATGCTAAGGTAACATATAAAGCCAGGAAGGTGGATTGAAGTTTCCAGGCAGGGAGTGAAACGATAAATTAGGGTAAGATAGGAATGGAGACTGAAAGTAGATCAGCTGGACCAATAGCAAGGGAGAGAGCATCAGGAGAGGACAGAGAGTTCACGGGGTGGAGGGTCCACTCAGGAAAGCCTCCATGGTCAAGAATCCGGAACTAAGGAGAGGGGGCCACTAGTGGTTTTGAGGAGAAGGGTAGCATGCTGTTGTAACAGGATCCCTCCCAGCTGTTTTGAGTACGGACTGAGGGAGGAAGAGGATTACCACGGGGGTCACTGAGGATGCCAGCTGGCACAGGGGAAGGAGACTGGACACTGTCAAATAATGCCCCTGGGGACAGAATGGTTTAATCCCTCCTAACAAGCTGACTGCTGGAGGCCACCTCATGACGTCTCACATAAATGATTCTAGCTTTGTGGGGACTTGGCTGGAAACCTGGGAGGGATTGATTAGTAATGTCTGCCAGGGCCACAGGAAGGGAGCTTAATGGTTCCCTTGAGAAGCTCTCAGGCCCGGGCTACCCCGAATAGGAACCATGCCTGGCTCCTTCCTCACCCTGAGGTCTGCCAATAACAGTATTCGTAATAGATTAGTGATAGTATTAGTAATAGTGTCATCCATCGCAATGATATTAGTAATGCCGAGTTACATTAGTCATAGTAAAAATAGTCGTAATAGCCACCATCAGTTGAGCAAGTACAATATACTGGTCTTAAGCACTTGGCATTTAATCCTCCTTCAACCCTCATCTATTAGGTAGGAAACGTTGTTGATCCCATTTTACATATGAGAATGAGACAGGCTGGGACTTGGGACCTTTACTGCAGTGCATGCACCTAAACAAATGCCTCCTCCAGTAACAAAATACAAAGAAACTGTAAGGGACTAAAAGTAACCCTCACGCATGTGCAGCTGGGGCAACTTATGAACAATGAGATACAAAACGGCCAAAACTCAACTGCCATTTCTGAGGTGTAGGGAGCAAAAGCGGGGTACCGGGCCTGATCCCTGCACAGTACACCACCAAGAGGGTGGGCAGACCACCAAAACTACCCCTTCACCTGATCTACTGATCCGTTCCTACCCTCATCCCATTTAAGGGACCAGCGCCTCACCAGCCCCATAGGGGAGGGAGCAAGCAAAGGAACCTGTTACTTGCAGCAGGAATCCCAGTAAAGGCTTCCCTGAATTCCTCCACTGGCATTTTAATCAATTCCTGTTGCATAAAGAGGGGTGTCCCAGGTGGCACAGTGGTAAAGAATCCACCTGCCAGTACGGCAGACACAAGAGATGTGGGGTTGATCCCTGGGTCGGAAAGATCCCCTGGAGAAGGAAATGGCAACCCACTCCAGTATTCTTGCCTGGAGGATCTCATTCATGGACAGAGGAGTCTGGTGGGCTACGGTCAATGGGGTCCCAAAGAGCACACACACTTGGATAAAAAGTCCAGGGACCCAGGTGGGTATCAAAACCCCTGAGGTCCAGAAAGAGAAGAAAGAAAGAATGGTTCAGTCCTGTCTGATTCTTTGCGACCCCATGGACTGTAGCCCACCAGGCTCCTCTGTCCATGGGATTCTCCAGGCAAGAATACTGGAGTGGGTTGCCATTTCCTTCTCCANGGGCGGCCGAGGCCCGGCACCTGGCCGCGGGCGCCGGCGCTTACGTGGGCTACTGGGCCGTCATGCTGACCCTCTACTGGGTGGGCGTGCGGAGGCTCTGCCGGCGGCGGGCGGGGGGCTACCGCGTCCAGGTGTGAGGCTGGGTGCACCGGACGCTGGCTCCGGGGGCGGCCAGAGGGGACTTAGCGGGGTTCCCGGAGCCACATACTTGCTGGTGACCCCCTGGGCCTCAGTGGCCCTCCTCTGTGAAGTGAGGGGCTCGACCCAAGACTTCTCAGCCTGGACTCTTTTCGGGGGGCGGGCTGGGATTTCTGGGTCTCTTGGGAGGGGTATTTATTGATCAGGGTGTGGACTTTTGGGGGCAGGGCGAAAGGGGTCCCCACAGGCTGTCCTGGGGCCCCTGATTTCTCTGTTCTTATTTAACCTTATTTGTACTGTGTATTAGAATATAATAAAGAATTTTATTTATTTTCTTCTCAGCCTACTCTCCATTTTTTTTTTTTCTTTTCCAGAACTAAGCCGGGGGTTGGGGGGCGCTGCATGATTGAGAACTGAGGGCTCCTGGCTGGGTCTTGGGGCTTCCCAGGTGGCACAGCGATAAAGAATCTGCCTGTCAATGAAGGGCGACTCAGGAGACAGGTTCGATCCCTGGGTTTGGAAAGTCCCTTGCAGAAGGAAAGGGCAACCTGCTCCAGTATTCTTGCCTGGAAAATTCCATGGACAGAGGAACCTGTTTGAAACTAGACAGAATACCCTCCTTCCTTTTAGCCTGGATGCCCTCTTTGGAAAACAGGGATAGGAATGCCGTGGGATGGGGCTGTTTTGTTTTGTTTTTTTTGGCTGCATTGGGTCTTAGTTGTGGCACACAGGATCTTCACTGCATCATGCAGGATCTTTCACTGCAGTGGATGGGCTCCAGAGCATGTGGGCTTGGTTTCTGCAGCTTACAGGCCTAGTTGCTCCCTGGCATGTGGGATCTTAGTTCCCTGACCAAGGATCGAACCTGTATTCCCTGCACTGCAAGGCAGATTCTTAACCACTGGACCACCAAGGAAGTCCCGGGATGGGGTTGTTTTGAAGGTGGAATTTCTCAACTCCTCATTCAGGTACTATGGAGCACCTACTATGTGCTGGACACTGTCATTTTACTTCAGTCATTCTTTGATTCAGTTAGTCAACCACAAAACAAACATTTACCAAGTTCCTATTCAATTCCACACACATTGTCAGGTTTGCAAATACAGAAGCTATTAAGAGTCTGAGTCTGCTTTCCAGAAACTCCTATTCCATTAAGCAAAGATGGTGTTATCCTTAGTTAAGGGTTCTCAGGAACATAATCCATTAGTCCTTGGTAGCGCAGATGGTAAAGAATCTGCCTGCAATGCAGGAGACCTGAATTTGATCCCCGAGTCGGGAGGATCCCCTGGAAAAGGGAATGGCAACCCACTCCAGTATTCTTGTCCGGAGAATTCCATGGACAGACCACGGGGTCCCAAAGAGTGGAACACAACTGAGCAACTAACAGGCACATAATAGTCTGTATCTCTTAATCCCCTGTGCCTTGAGGGTGCAGATTTTTCTGTTCTGATTTCTTCATTGTTGTGTTTACAGTGCCTTGAAAATGCCTCACACATAATAAACGCTGTTTATTTTCTGATTGAATATTTTCTGACTGAAATGAATCAGTGAAAGGGAACATACTGGTGAAGAACACTATGAGGGAGCTTACCTTTTAGGTGGGGAAGCCACAAAACCAAATTAAAAAATAAGTTTACATCAGGTCTGAGTGAATGCTGTGTGCAAGCTAAAATAGGGGGATGTCGAGATTTTCCAGGCTACCCAGTGGTTAGGACTCCAAGCTTTCACTGCCAAGGGCACAGGTTCAATCCCTGGTCAGGGAAATAAGATCCCACAAGCCAGTCACACAAAAAATTTTTTAAAAATGGGGGGTATCATGTGGGAGGAGGGGAGTAATGAGAGGTGTCATCTGAGCTGAGACCTGTGAAGTGAGAGGGAGGTGGCTTCGTGAGGATCAGAGTAATCTCATTTCAAGTAGGAAGGCCCAAATGCAAAGGCCCAGGGGCAGGACTGAGCTTTGTATGTTCCAGGGACCTGCAAAGAAGGCCAGTGGGTTAGAGAGTAAAGAGGAGGGTAATAGAGAAGGGAAGTCAGGCACACCAACATAGTGCCTGCCCACAGAGTTGTCCTGAGGATCAAATAGGTTAATGAACATAAAGGCTGTTCAGGGGAAATCATAACTGAGTTAACTAGACAAAAAGGAGAAGAAACATTATTCTAGGAAGAAAATAGTATGTACCCTAGATCCTGGATAGAACAAGAATAATGATGAATAGAGGGGGTGCTTTGGAGACCTTGAGGGTAGGTGGATTTTGGCCCAGTGGCAATCGTAAGCCACTGAAGGGTTCTGAACAGAGGAGTGACCTGACCTGACAAACTTTAGAATATCACTCTTAAGATTGGAACTGACATATATACACTACTATATATAAAAGAAATAACTCATAAGAACCTGCTGTACAGTACAGGGAACTCTACGCAATACTCTGTAATGACATATATGGGGAAAGAACCTAAAACAGAGTGGATATGTGTATATGTATAACTGATTCACTTCGCTGGGCAGCAGAAACTAACCAACACCGTAAATCAACTACACTCCAATAAAAATTAATTTAAAAAATTAAAACCTTAGCCAAGGTCGCCAAAAAACAAAACAAGAACACTCTGGCTGCTTTGTGCAGAATGGATTGCACTGGGACAAGGCTGAGCCCACTCTCAGCCAGGGAGACCAGTGTGAATACTGCTGCGGAGACCCAGGCGAGAGATGGTGGTGGACCACAGAGAGGGAGCAACTCCATGAGATATTTAGGAATGATATATGAAAAGGCTGAGACTTGGAAATAGGTGGGACATGGAGGAGAAATTAAATAAAACTTAGGTTTCCAGTCGAGCAGCTGGGTGGATGGTGACGCCCTTGACGACAGCAAGAAAGTTTTGAGGGAGGAACAGACTTTTGGGGCGACATTAAGGTCTTTATTTGAGGGTGACTGATGCAGGTGTAAACGTCCAGGACACTGCCGGAAATCTGGGGAGGGGCCTGGGCGTGCACCTAAAGCCCTCAGCACAGGGCCCCGCGCTGCACAGCTGTGCCTCTCACCATCATTATGGGCGCATGTGCACCTGGGCATATGCCGCCCTTCCCCCTAAGTGGTGTGCAGCGATCACTTGCAACGATGAAATAATCTAGAGAGCCAAGATAGACTCTTTATTTTAAGGATGAAAATAGGGTATGAAGAGATACCTTTGTTAGTTGCCGCTGCAGTACCATCGAAAAAACATCCTGGGGAAACAAACAGATGTTAGTATGTGGAGGGGGAAGAGGTTGGGGACCAGAAATTTGGGTCCTGGAGCCTAGGTTCCAAAGGCGGGTGATAGGGCTTGGACTCTTGGATCTGAGAAACCAGGGGCGAGGGGTTATGACTCCTGAGTAAGAGGAGGCTGGAGACTCGGAGTTCCGGATCTGAGGGAGGAGGGGCTGAGAAACCCAAACTGAATAAGGAGAGAATAACCCAGTCTGAATAAGGAGAGAGCCAGAGGCTGGGACTCCGGGGTCCCGGGGACTCACCACGCCAGCACGGTCACACTGGCTGATGCTAAGGCCACAAGGGCTGCGAGCAGGCACTGATTGCCCGGCGTCAAAGCCCCTGGTGTGGCCAGCAGCTCGCCCAGGCTGGGCCTCCAGGGTTCGATCGTCTCCGCCTCCTGCGGCACCCACCGCAACACTTCCCAGCCCCGCCCCGAGCGCAAAAGAGATTCTCTCCTCCCTGACTCGCCAAACCGCTACGTGAAGCCCCGGCCTGAGCCAGGCCAGGCCCCCGAGCCCCAGCCTCGCCCTCTTATTCGCCGAGCGTTCACGCACGGCCCCGCCCCCTAGGCCTTGACTCCGCCTCGTGGGCCTAGTGTTTGCTCTCCCGCCTGAAACCCCTACGGATAACCCTCCCCTGGGCTCCGTCACTGCATTGGGAGCTTTGACCCTTACCCCAAAATGCCGGGACCCTCCCCTTGCACGAAGCATGAGTCTAGTCCGAGCCTCCTCGAATCCCACTCCCTGCCTCCTGACTCTCCATCCTCTAGTGAAGCATAAACCGCCTCCTAAAGCCCTTCACGCTGGTCCCGCCCCGACTCACACCTCCTGCGAACTTCCAGGAATAGGTGATCTCTTCCTTAGGCAGCTGGAAGTTCACAGTGCAAGAGAACATGGCCTGACGACCCCGAGTCACCGTCAGGTCCTGAACTGAAGACAGGTCTCGCGTCGCCACCTCGGCCCGCCCCCGTCCGAACCCCCAACCCCAGCGCCTTCCTCGCTCAGCCCTCTCTTCCAGTTTTTCAGGTTTCTCACCCTTCAAGGCCACGCCCCTCACCTGGGCAGTCAAGCGGGAGATCGCAGACCTTGGAGTAGCATCCGCGGCAGCGGAAACGCCGGGTGACCTCCTGGAGCCCTATGGGGTGGGAACGCTGGGTCCGGGGTCCATCTGTCTCCCCTAGCCAGGGTCCCTTCGGCCACCATCAGTTCAGTTTAGTCGCTCAGTCGTGTCCGACTCTTTGCGACCCCATGAATCGCAGCACGCCAGGCCTCCCTGTCCATCACCAACTCCCGGAGTTTACTCAAACTCATGCCCATCGAGTCGGTGATGCCATCCAGCCATCTCATCCTCTGTCGTCCCCTTCTCCTCCTGCCCCCAATCCCTCCCAGCATCAGGGTCTTTTCCAATGAGTCAACTCTTCGCATGAGGTGGCCAAAGTATTGGAGCTTCAGCTTCAACATCAGTCCTTCAATGAACACCCAGGACTGATCTCCTTTAGGATGGACTGGTTGGATCTCCTTGCAGTCCAAGGGACTCTCAAGAGTCTTCTTCAACACCACAGTTCAAAAGCCCATAAGGTCTATTTAACTTCCCCGGGTTCTACCTGCCGGACAGAATCTGGACCCCGCCTTTCCCGCGCTCATTGGCTGGCTCTCACCACTCTCCAGCCTCTAGGATCCCTATTGGTTTGCCTTGGGGGTTTTTTTCGGACCCGCCTTTCCTGAGGTTTGTGAACAATGCCTGGTTTACTTACTCCTCTTCTGGGCTCGATTGGCCCCTTCGGATCTGAGGCCACCCAAGAGTCCCAGGTTTCGGCCCTTACCACCTCCCTCCCCCCCGCAATTCTGAGCTTTGAATGACGTGCTTACCGCAGGGAGGAATGCAGGCCTGCACTGTGGAGAGAGAAGAAGCGTTACCACCCTGTAAGTCGCGGCAGGTGCTCACCTGAAATTCCCCTAGAGGAAACGTTTCGGGGCCGGATGCATTCATTCCTCCAAGGGATCAGAGTCAGGTATGCCGCGCTCCACCAAAGGGGCGGGGCCAAGCCTGCAACTTCTCACCTGTAGGCGGGGCCAGGCCTGCGGTACTTCACCTGGGGACCCTGCCAGCCCTGCAACATTCCACTAAGACGTCAGGCACAAGCCTGCTGCTCCCACCCAGAAGGCAGGTCCAGCCCCGGTGTATTCCATCCAGCGGGACGGGCCTAGATCCTGGGCGATCATCGGAGGGGACAGAGCCTAATTAGGGGGCCCAATTAGAGGTGTGGTCAGGCTGGACGTTGCCCACTAAGACGCCCGAGATGAAAGGAATCTTGTCACAGAGTGCCCAGGGTCAGACACAGATCCATGAAGAGGCCCGAGCTAGTCTGGGACAGGACTGTCCTACGAAGCGGTCCCAGCTACAGGTAACCTTGCATCAGAGGCGGAGCCGAACCCAGAGTAGTCCTAGCAGGATAAGAGGCTGTGCCGAGAGACCCACAAGGGAAGCTCGGCTCGGAAATCGGGCCGGGGGTTGGCTTGATGGGAGTGGATGGGGGTCTCCGGAGTGGGGTTTTCTAATTGTGCCTGGGGGAAGGAGACAGTCTATTTTACCTTCCTTAAGCTGTAATATAATCTTCTGCATTTTCTCCGCAGCATGAAGAAAGGCAACCCGAAAGGACCCTGGAGGGTGGAGGGAGTCATTGTAATAAAGACCCTTCCCCAAGGCTGCCGGAGCTCGACAGGCCTGGCTGTCATCATGTCTGTGCCCCTCCCCCAGCCCCTGCTATCTCCGGGACTCTGATAAATGCCACATCCTCCTACTCTATCTATCTGGATGGTGGGCACACCCCCAAATCTCCTTCAGCTGCCTCGGACTAATCACTCTGACAGAACTCCTCTGCATCTGTGTTCTCTTGTTAAGGAGAAAAGGGAGGATAAAGGTCAAATTTCTCCCATGGCCTATGAGACCCTGTGTGGTCTGGCCTAGTCTCGTCTTCCTCTCTGTGTGCCAAGTTGCTTCAGTCTTGTCCAACTCTTTGCAATCCCGTGGACTGTAGCCCACCAGTTTCCTCTGTCCATGGAGATTCTCCAGGCAAGTATACTGGAGTGGGTTGCCATGTCCTCCTCCAGGGGATCTTCCTGACCCAGATATGGAACCGGCAACTCTTAAGTCTCCTGCAATTCATTTCCCCTGATAAGGAAAGCATCACGTTCTCTACCACCTCAGGGCCTTTGCACATGCTGTCTTCAGTTTGCAGCGCACCTCTCCCCCTACTCCTACTCATCCTTCCTGTCATACCTCATGTCACCGCCTTAGAGGTTTTCCCTGACCACAAATCTAATTTAATCCAGTCCCCTATTTTTGTCTCTAACAATACCCCATCTGTTTCATTCATAGCTCTCACCAATTTGCAAATACATATATTCACATATACATAGTGAGCATTTAAGACTGTAAGCAAACAAGTCCTTCTTTAGTGCTGTGTCCTCAGAAACCAGGAAAGGGCCCCGAGTCTTAGGAATAAGTATGTGTAGAATGAATTCCAGGATTCAACTGGAATGAGTACCACAGCTGGAAGCCTGGGGCCACAATTCATCCACTGGATGTGTTATATTTGGCCTGGAAAGTGTTTTTAAAAAATGACCCAGTTGCTGTCATATAAAGTTTGGGAAAAGTCACATAAAATGTTTGGCATCCCTTTACAAAATCTGGAAGAGCTGTAACAGAGGCAGTATTTCCATGAGGCAGCAGTTGGCTGGAGCTTAGCAGCAGCCACCCACTTTAGACAGGGCACACACCCACTTTTCCAGAGTTCCCAGTCTCTTCATTTCTACCCCTCTTTCACTTTTTTGGAGAATGCAATGGCACCCCACTCTAGCACTCTTGCCTGGAAAATCCCACGGATGGAGGAGCCTGGTAGGCTGCGGTCCATAGGGTCTCTAAGAGTCAGACACGACTGAGTGACTGACTTCACTTTCACTTTTCACTTTCATGCACTGGAGAAGGAAATGGCAACCCACTCCAGTGGTCTTACTTGGAGAATCCCAAGGATGGGGGCGCTTGGTGGGCTGATGTCTATGGGGTCGCACAGAGTCGGACATGACTAAAGTGACTTGGCAGCAGTTCACTCTTTTTATGTTCTCTGCTCTTATGGATGTTTGAGTTTTCACCACTGTAATGGCCTTAAAAAAAAAAAGTTTGGGGACTTTCTCAAAGTGGATGGCTGCAATGATTTACAGGTGGAGGTGGTTTTGGAAGTCAGAAATGTGGCAGGATTTTGTTGTTGTTATTTAGTTGCTAAGTCAGGTCTGACTCTGTGACCCCGTGCACTGTAGCCTGCTGTGCTCCTCTGTCCATGGGATTTCCCAGGCAAGAATACTGGAATGGTTTGCCATTTCCTTCTCCAGGGGATCTTCCCCACCCAGGGATAGAACCTGCGTCTCCTGCACTGCAGGCAGATTCTTTACCGCTGAGCCACCAGTACTCATGTGGCAGGGTGCTATGGGCTGAATTTCATCTCTTCCAAATTCATACAGTAAAGTCCTAAGCCCTAGTCCTTCAGAATGCAACTGTATTAGGAGATGGAATCTTAAGGAGGTAATGACATTAAAATGAGGTTTTTTTTTGGGTGGGCCTTAACCCAACATGACTGATTTCTTGGGAAGAGAAGGAAATCTGGACACAGACACAGACAGAAGACAGTCATTCTGCAAGCCAAGGAGAGAGGCCTCAGAAGAAACCCACCCTGCTGACACTGACACCTTTATCCTGGACTTCTAGCCTCCAAAACTGTGAGCAAATAAACTTCTTTTAGTTAAGCCACCCAGTCTCTGTTTTTTTTTTTGTTACAGCAGCCCTAGCAAACTAATACATAGGGATTGCCAGTTGCCTCAAAATACCTATTTTCTCCTTAATAACATATCACCACATTTCAGCAGAGAAAGCACCCCCACCCTGCTCCAGCTAAAAGACTACATTTCCCAACCTCCACTGCAGCTTGCTGTGGTCATGTGTCCAAGTTCTGATGGTTGAGACATAAGTTTAAGTGTGATGTATGAGTCACAGAAAGTAGCCTTAAAAGAGATATGGTGCCATTTTATTGGCCCCTTTCCCCTTCTTTCATCCTGTTGCCTGAAACTTGGATTTGATGGCTGCTGCTCTGGCAGTTATATAGGACCATGAGGATAAGTAGTATGCCCTAGGGTGGTAAGGCAGAAAGCTGGAAGAGTACTGAGTCCCCAGGAAAATGGAGCTGCCATACTAGTCTTAAGTGCCTACCTCAAGACTTATTTTATATGGACAAAATAAACTTCTACCTGCTTAAGACATTGCATGTTTTAACCTTAGGTTAAACCATAAATAAAGGGAGGGAATTGAGGATTCTGATAAGAATCTGGCTGAAGTAATGATCATAGAAGTAATGGTAGAAGCTGGAGAGAGGGGGGCTCTGAAGCCAGGAAGCAGGTGCACAATGAGGGGTCAAGGACTTAGCAGTCTCTCCTTGGCCACACGGCAGGCAGGAGCTGTGGTCTGGTGATGGCAGGATGGTCAGGAGGATGTGGTCCTAGTAGCAGTGCTGAAATGAGAGGCCGGGATGATGTTGGAGAAGGCAGCCAAGGGATATCTATGGGCCAAACCAAGTGACTCTCGGGGGAGGGTATGTGGGATATACCAAGTCAGCCATGGGGCAGGGGAGAAGCATGGGAGTCAAGTAGGGATGGAGCGAAATGTCCAAAGGGGCAAGAGGCAGGTTTGTGTTAACCACAAAGGGGCACGAGTTATAAAGTCTCCCCCAAAGAGGTGCTTCATTGGGAGCCTCAACTTGCTGATCACCTGAGTTTGAGTCCTGTCTCTTCCAACTATGCACACACCTGTCTCACTTCTGTGCTACCCATCACATGCACTCCTCCCTGTGTGACCTTGGCCGGGTATTTAACCTGCCTGATCCTTGGTTTCCTCATTCATAAAATGGGGACAACATCGGTGTCTACTTCACAGCATTGGTGGTGAGGATTTCATGTCATACAATATAAAAGCCTCCTCCTCCCAAACTACGTGTCAGGTACCATTTAATGACCATGATGGGATAATGTCTGTGTTACAGAAGAGTCAACTACTGGCATTATTGTCGTCTAATCTGAGACGGGGAAACCCAAGCACACAGAGATTAGGAAATTGGCCCAAGGTCACACAGCTGGATTGGAGCCCATGTGGTCAAACTCCAGAGCCTCCATGGGTGGCCACTATCTGCAGTACACACACTGCCCTCAACATCACTCTAACAGTGTCAGCGGCCACCACCAGGAGCCACTCTGAGTCCACCTGTCCACCTCTCCATTCGGGAGAGACCCAGGAGTCATCCTGATTCTTCCCATCCTCATCACCCTACATACATCTGGTCCAGACATCCCCTGGGTCCATCCAGGGGAGCCCCAACTTCCCCATCTGGAAAATGGGGCTATAAAACTCCACCTCACAGGGCTGGTACAAGGACATACTTTGGGAGGATTATTAACATAAATCACTTTCTGCAGTCACAGCATCTTCCATGCAAGGGGCTGGTTCATCTCAGCCCCCACCAACCATCACAACAGGTTCAAGTCACCACTGACTGTCTCCTCCCTGGACTTTCTGCTTCTGCCCTTGACCCATACGACCTTAGTCAGAACCCTTCCTTCCTTAAAAATTCTCCAAAGGGTTTCCCCACATCAAGAGCAAGAGCTGAAGTGATTATTTGGTATGAGCTGGAAAGGGGGTCCTCTGGCTGAAGTTAGCTCGAGGACGCACCCTAGCATTTCCCCAAGTGTGTTCCCAGAACAGCAGCAGCAGCACCTGGGAACTTGTTAGACATGTCTGTTTCTGGGCCCTACCTCAGACCTAAGGGTCAGAGACAGAGGGTGGGGCCCAGGAGCCTACATTTTAATAAGGTTCCAGGAGATTCTGACATACACTGTGGGGTTGGAGAACCATTAGCCTACATGGTCCACTCCAGCCCCACTGGCCCCAGGGCCTTTGCACTGGCTCTTCCCGCCACCTAGAAGCTCTCTCCCCAGGTCACCTGCATAGCTCTCTCTGTTCCCCTCATTCTAGTCTTTGCACAACTGGATCTTTTTCATTTGCACCTCCCCTGATCAACCTGTTTAGTAAAACAATCACACCACTGGTCACCCCACCTTTTCCTCCCCCTTTTGTTTCCCTCCATAGCATGGATCACCAGCTGACATCTATGGCATTTCACTGATTACGCTTAATAATCAATGCAAGCAACCTGAGGGCAGGTGGCTTGCAGTTTGGGTCACAGCTGTATCCCTGGTGGTGCTCTTGGCACAGTCAATAAATACCCATGGAACGTAAAGCCCCAGCTTCTCCCGGCCCCCAGACTCTCCCTCCAGTCCATCCTCCACATGGCCTCTGAGGGTCTTTCTATACCCTGGCTGACCCTGCCCTTCCCTGGCTCACAGCCCTGTTCCTTCGGGACAGTCTCAAATCTCCCTGACTCCCAGTTGGACCCTGGATGTCCCCCAGGCCCCTTGCAGTCACTACATCCTCACCCAGCTGCCCATCTACCCCCACTCCTGCTCTTCCTCCAGGACTCCCTCATCCCAGAGATGACCACTGCCCCCTCAGGCACGGAGCCAGCCCTGGCACACGGTCCCGAACCCCTCTCCCTGAACGGCTGATCAGACCCAGGCCTGGTCCTCTCTTCTCCACCTGCACAGATTCCCCGCCGCAGGTCTGGCCTCCTTCACCACAGCCTCCACCCCAGGCCTTCCAGCCTCCACTCCCTCCCCTGCTCCAGTTGGCCCCACACGCTGCCCTCGGGGGTCTTCTGCACCCAGAACAGGACTTGTTTCTGCTCTTTTCGAAACCTTCTGATGTAGGGGAGAAGGGCATCTCCCAGAATTCTCCCCGCACCACACCCCCTCCAGCTCCAAGTTCCTCAGCTCTCCCTTTGTGGGTGGGGGAATCTGCAGCTGAAGTCTTCTCCACGCTGCACAACCCCCCACCCTGCCCTGGGAGCCCCCCCGATGGATGGAACCTCCTCATGTTTGGGGATCATGTTCGTCAAAAAGCTCGGAGGCAAGAGTAGGAAGTAAAAGAAGTAACAGAACCGAGATGTAGAAATAAGTGTGCAGCCCCCAGACCACGGACACGGCCATGAATGCTCCCCCACCCCATGGTTCCAGTCTCCAGCATGTGGGGCTGGGGGTTGGGGGGAGTCCTCTGTCACGTGACCACGGCAGCCTCGTGTGATCACTGCTCACACTGGCCCTCGGCCACGAGGGTCACCCCAGCCCTGTGGTCCCTTCACACTATCACACGCATATTTCTCATTCCCTCGAGGTTGTCACATGTGAGAACCTCCTCATGTTTGGGGATCATGTTCGTCAAAAAGCTCGGAGGCAAGAGTAGGAAGTAAAAGAAGTAACAGAACCGAGATGTAGAAATAAGTGTGCAGCCCCCAGACCACGGACACGGCCATGAATGCTCCCCCACCCATGGTTCCAGTCTCCAGCATGTGGGGCTGGGGGTTGGGGGGAGTCCTCTGTCACGTGACCACGGCAGCCTCATGTGATCACTGCTCACACTGGCCCTCGGCCACGAGGGTCACCCCAGCCCTGTGGTCCCTTCACACTATCACACGCATATTTCTCATTCCCTCGAGGTTGTCACATGTGCGTGTCTCCCCAGTGATCCTCTCCCTCCCTGCTCCCACCTGTCTTCTGGGCCCCCTGGCCCCCTGATAGCCTCCGCAGGTCAAAGATGTGGAACCACTTTGCTAACTGTAGGGAATAAGTTTTATCCTAAAGGAAGCTCTCCTCCCTGAAGTCTGTCTCCATGCTGGAGCCCCCTCCGTCTCACTGAGTTCCCATGCCTTGCAGGAAGGCAAAACCCTTGTCCCCTTTCTCAGATGGGTAAGTTGAGGCCTGAAGTTGGGAACGGGGGCAGTGACGCATCCAGAATCTCACAGCCAGGGAGAAGGCAAGCCACACAGGGAGGGCAGGCTTTCACCTCCCCGAGCCTCACTGGCCTCAGACTCTCAAGTTCCTTCTGCTCTGAACCCACCAGGCCTTGCCCATCTCTGCTCCCTGACAAGGTCACCCAGCTCCCTCGGCGTCCTACCATCAAGATCACTGTCACATTCTGGGCTTTCTCCATTGCCCCCCCCCCCGCAAAGGCTCAGACATCCATCTCCCAGTGCTGCAGACCCCGCCCCACTCACCCTGGGCGGCGGCCATCTCCTGCAGGGAGTGGGTCATCTGGGTGAAGGCATCATTCAGCTGGCCCCTCTCCTCGTAGTCTGGCGGTGGGAGGCAGGGGCTGGGGGGAACCGCTTCCCCTGGCACCACGGCCCTGAGGTGGTCATCCCTCGGTCTCCGATCTCTGCTCCCCACGCCTCTATTCTCCCATCTCTGCGTCTCTGTCCCTCTCAAGTCTCTCCAGGCCTCTCGGGTCCCTCCCTCCGTGTACCCCCGGGCCCCCCCACACTGGGGAGGATGCTGGGGAGGGGGTGTGGTCTCCTCACTGATCTCCGTGTCCAGCAGCCCCTTAAAGGCGTCTTCGAAGGCCTCCTCACACTTCCCGAGGTCGGGGCTGTCCAGGCCGGCGAAGATCTGGCAAATCTGGAGGCGCTCCTCATAAGACGTGAAGCAGAGGAGACAGGCCCAGGCTGAGGCATCGAAGACCGCGAGGGCCGCCAGGGAGGGCAGGATGGCGCTCCAAGGGGCCAGCCAGGCCATGGCGGAGGGTCGTGGCCTGGGGAAGAAGCTGGTGACTTTTGTGAGGTCACTGTGGTGCGGGGGAGGGGCTCAAGATGCAGGGGTCAGAGGTCAGGTCTCAGTCACCAATCCAATGTCAGGCTCCCCCCCCACCGTGGGGGTTTTCAGGGAGCAAGGGGACAGGGGGTCGGGCTGGCAAGCCCCAGGCTGGTGGTTGGGCCGGACGCCAGGCTCCCAAGAACCTCACCTGTGACCCTGGACGTCCTCACAGGTTAAAGGGTCTCAGGGACGCAGAGGCCGGCAGTGCATTGTGGGGGGGGGCCTGCCAGGCCCTGGGATTGGGGGGGGGGTGCCGGAGAAATGAACATGGCACAGAGACGCCGTAAGGACCCGAAAGATGGAAACTGGGCCACAGAGAAACACCGGGAGGTCAGAGATCCAGAAAGCACCATAAGAGACTAATGCAGACAGAGTTTCAGAGGCCACTGCACAGAGGCCCAGTGGAGATGGAGAGACAGAGAAAGCCAAGCAGAGATTTCCGGATGGGAGAGAAACTCCCTGAAGGAAAGGGGAGAAAGGACAGGGATGAAGACAGGAGGGACAGGCCTGCTTCTCTCCCAGGGTCCCTGCGGCAGCGCCCCCCACCCCCAGCCTGGCCGGGTGGGGCAGGGGACCAGGGTCCAGGGGTCCCCGCCGGGCCGTCCCGTGCAGGGCGCAGCCTGGGGAAAGCTAGGAGGCCGTATAGTGATCTCCGTGGGTGTCCTCCTCAACTATACAACCTCCTACCTCAGCCCGGGGGGCGCGGCAGGTGGACAGACAGACGGATGGACGGACAGACGGGGGCCAGGGAGGGCGGGGAGGGCCGGGGAGGCCCCAGCCGCGATGGTGAGCCCCCGACACGGACCCACAGACACGAGCTTGTGTGCGGCGAAGGCCCCGCAAGGTCGGTTCTACGGGTGGGTGCCAGGACCCAGGAATCCGGGCCCCCGGCCCCCTCCTCCCCAAGGAACCCAGGAGTCAGTTTTTTGGGCCCTTCCTCCCCGAAGATCCCCGGAATCCAGGCCCCCTAGCCCCCACTGCTCCCTGAGATTCAAAATCCAAGTCCTCAAGCCCCTCTTCTCCCTAGGGGACCCAGGAGGCCAGGCCCCCGGCCCCTCCCTCAGACCCGGGAATCCAGCCAGGCCTGTCTCCTTTGGAGAAGACGCAGCCCGGCTTCCTGGATCCCGGGTCCGAGGGAACCTCACCAGTTTCAGAGTTTGGCCACTTGGGCCAGCTCCCTCCCTCCCTACCTGTCAGATAATCGGAAATTTCAGGAGCGGGGCGGAGGCCGCCCAGGGGCTATAAACCGGTGTGAAAGCCTGTCTAGGTATCTGCTCCTCTCTCTTCCCTGCTTTTGGCCTCTCATCAAGTACCACACTGACAGCTGGGATGCCTGCGCGCGGATGCCGCCCCAGGCCTGTGTCATCTCTCCGGCGGGGCGCGAGGTGCCATCGGCACCCCCACTTCGCAGGTGGGAAGGCTGAGCCCCAGCCAGCCGTAGGGTGGGGTGGCGGGGT